CCATTCTGTGATTCTGTGATGGGATAAGCAGTGATGTTGCAAATCTTTCTGTCGCCTCCCTCTTGTGTGGAGGGATAAAGGGAATGGTGCTCTCTGCTCTTCGTCGTGGAAGGAACAGTCCCTCTCCTCATAATGGAGCAGTAGGTCAGCCATTGCTTCACCCCAGAGAAGCACTTGGGTCTGCCTTGCTGGTGTTTCCAAACCAAGGCCTGGAGAGGATGGTGATGGGCTCTGGGAGCCACTACCCTGCAAGGCACCGCCTCGGCCCGGCTGGAGAGGAGAAGGAGGGTGACTGCCTGCGGGGGATGCAGGCGCCTGCTCACAGCACTTCCCTTCCTCACTGTCAGCGGGGCTGCCGACAGCAAGCTGCACGAATATGTCTTCCAGCCTTACCGATTGATTGTTTTCAAGTGCCTGCTTAGTGGAGATGCTCCCAAGGGACTGCCTGCCTCTGCGCTGGCACCTTTTCAGTGTGAGCCACGGCGCTCTCTGCTGCTGTCCTTTTGATCAAGATCTAACAGCCTGTGCTGGCGATGCTCCCGTCCCTGCTAGAGTGCCTGTCACTCCTGGCAGTGACAGGGACCTCCCCATCCTTGCCGCGATTGCTGCTGGCAGAGTCCCTGGGGACCACGTGCATCATTAGAGCATTTTTCCCTTTCAAAACAATCCCCTCCCCATGTTGTCCTGAACCCTGTTGTGCTCCAGCAGCACCCACCTGCCGCGAGTCCCTCGTTTGGTCACTCCTTCCTTCCTGACCCTGCATCAAAGCCCTTCTCTGGTTGGAGAAGGAAACCTCCCCCGTGATGGTTGGGCATGGTCGGCCCCTTTGCATGGTGCTGGCATCTGACTGCTGCATCCCTGCTGGGTCACGGCCCCTGGAGCTGGCACTGCTGTGGGTGTTGGGCTCGGCAGCAAAGCGACAGGACCGTTGCGTGGCCTTTGCAGAAGGTGAGCAGCAGTGGAAGTGCCACTTCCAGAGCTGTGGCAGGGTTTGGCCAAACTCAGGGAGCTGAGCCCACACCCAAAAACCTGAGTGCCTATTTAGGACTCTGAGTATAAATCAGAGAGTGTGATTTTTTTTTTAAATATATATATTTTATTGTCAAAATGGAGTGGTTTATAAATTCTGCTTTATCTCAGCTCCCATGTACTGATATTCTTGGGTGACCTTGGACAATTTATTTCATTTCTCTGTATTTTGAAATATTGAAATCACTATATAATACGATGATAATATCATATTATTCTAAGCGTGAACATTTAGTATTGTGATTTAGAACAATAAATCTACATGGGTTTTAAAGGCGCTCTGAGGTACTGAGGGGGAAGGTATTGTTTTTCAGATCTCTTGGGGTTAACCAGCCGGTCATATGAATTTATTGTGCATTCTGGTTCTCATCAAAAAATCTGCATTTTATGGCTTGCAGTGAAATGCGTTTAGTGAGAAAGTCAGCTCTTAAGTCACACTGACACGGTGATTTTTCTTGGATTTTGCCCATTTAGGCATAACCTCTGAGTCGCTTTATCGCTCCCCATTTAGCCCCTGTAGGAACAATTAACAAATGAGCTGCTCTGATCAGTGCTTGCCCTTGGACCGCTGCAAAATCCTGCTGCTAACACCCCGACTTCAGCCCCTGAGCTGCTGGGAAAGGGTAACACTAGAATGAGTGGGAAGAAAAGACATTTTTTCTTGGAGAAAAGCCCCTCACAGATAGTTTTGGTGGATAACGTCTCTTTAACAAGCTTTTCAGACATGAGAAAGTTCCTGTACAGGAGGCAGCGTGGGATGGTCCCAACAGCAAAGCCCAGCCCATGGCAGAGCTCAGCTCTCCAGCCCTCTCTGTGCCCCTCTCCTGCTCGGGGGCAGACGACCAGCCCAGGTATTTCTTTCTGCAGGTGTACAGAGCATTTTTGCCAGCAGCAGCTGTGAGATGGTTGAAATTCCTTAAACATTGCTTGACCTCAGCATTTCTGGCATATAACCCAGCTCTCGCTGGAAGAGGGGAGAAGTGTAATGCAGAGATTATCAGCGTTCCTGATTACTGGTGGAGAACTGAGGATATCTCCTTCTTTTCCTCTTCTGTTCGCAACACGTGGGAGCGAAGGTTTAAGGGATCTTTGGCCGAGGGCTAAGGCATTTTTTAGGACTCAGGAGATGCAGGTTCAGCTGTGGTATGCCTGACACAGGATGATGTTTTGTCCCACGGTCACAATGTGGTTTCTTTTGCCTGTCCTGTGACTCTCTGGTTTCCAGACTCCTTGTGCCAGGGCTTTATTTTGTTATGGGTCTGCTCAGCATGTTGTACGATGGGTTTTATTTGTGGTTGCTGCTGCTTGGTGCTACTGTAGTGCAAATGACTGATTAGTGCTTGCATCGTGAGCAATGATTGTATCAGGATTACACCAGAGCAATAGGATACGTCCTCTCCCTGCACCCAGTTACACCAGAGTGGGCCAGGACAGAGGTGCTGTGAAAGGCAGGGAAATGATTATGCTGTGGGCTGCAGTCAGCAGAGGGGTTTGAGTCTCCTCTCAAAAATATCCTCGGCAGGAGTCAGGGACTGGCACCTCCATCACTCTCTGTGTCCCAGGTGTCCCAGGTGACGGGGCTTTTGGAGCAAGTGACACCAGCAGCAAGAGAGGATGCTCGCAGATGGGCAGATTTAGGCATCGTGGACTGCATGAATGACATTATGGCTTGAGATGCTGCAAGACAAAGCAACTCCTCC